CCTACACATTCTTAGATTTCCCATCTTGCCCTTCTTCTTCGCCGGTTTTCTCCTGCGGATTCTTGTTTCCCTTTGACGAGTCCTCCTCGACCCCTCCCTCGTGTGAAGAAACCGAGCCAGACGAATTTGGAGTCTGCGGATTTTCGCTCCCGGCTGCAGCTATCTCCTTATTGTACACAAAATCATCAGACATACTAATGTTTTTATTTCCGTTACTGTTATTATTGCTGTTGTTCGAAATCACGAGCTGATGTTGTTGATCAGATGAAGAACAAGAAAGGTCAAAGGCATTTGAGAGGGTATTATAGTCAGCTGCCCCTAATTGGAGGCAGTTTGAGAAGCTCATTTGGGAATTGTCAGAAGGATTAGGGTTATGATGATGATCATCAAATTCAAGGGTGTTAGGGTTTTGCTGCTGCTGCTGTGGCTGGTTGTACATAAAGGTACTATAGCTATTGCTGTGATCTGTGATTATAGGGAAAGCAAACCCTTGATCATCAGACAGGTGCATGGTTTGATCTTGGTTATGGAAGCTGGAAAAGTAAGGGAAAGAATTCTTGTGGTCTTCTTCACCAGACATGATGAGGTTAAGGAAAAATTAATGTCAAGCCTTGAAGAAAAAAACAAAAGAAAAGAAAAGAAAAGTGATGTCTTCAAGGAGATTTTGGGTTAAAGACTGAAAATATATACTATATATATAATAGATGTATGTGTATGTGTATTTTTATTATAGTTATAGGCTTTGGCTAAGGAGAATTAAATTAATTTGGGGAAAAAGACTTTTTTGTATCATTTGCTAGAGAGAGGTAGCTTAGCTTGTGCTTTTTGGTATTATTAACTTTATGCTTTGTTTGGTCTTTCTCTCTTTCATTATTTTTTGTTTTAAAAAATTGCTATGGAGAAAGTGATGTTTGAATTCTTTTCATGCGCGTTTAGTGCATAGTATGAACTAGGGGACGTTCTACATTTTTCTTTTACTTATTTTTATTATTTATTTTTCTTTTTCTTT